CCTCCTGTGGAGAAGCGTGTGAGTTTGAACTGCCAACCTTTCGATTCACAGCCAAGCACTTAAACGTTGTGTCTTCGGGACTCCTTTTCCACCACCTAGGGAACTTAGACACCAATGAACACTTCTTCATGAATACCCCCAGCCCAACGACCCCACGCTCCCGCTGGCTCCTCTGATCATGATTCTAGGTGCAGCTGCCACCTGGGTTTCAGGTGCTCTGAACTTGAACTCCACATCAGCGGGGTCCAAGGTCAGCCACAAGGCCCCCTGTCCATACAGTACAACTCTGGCCCCGCCCTCTCCCAAAAGAAACTTCAGCGGAATTCTTCACCCTGGTGCATGCTGTAACTGCAAGCTCTAGTTAAGTCATTACAGTATTTACACTAATTAAGTGGTTAGAGTAATTACACTAATTGTATAAACGCACAATAACCCTAAGATATACTCCAGAGAACAAAGGGAATCGGCTCAGAAACCTTCCTGAATGTTAGAGGTGCAAGGAGCCCTCCTGGAGGGCAGAGGGGGCTGGTGGGCACCTCGGGCTGTGGTCCAGCCCAGGGCCCACACTGCACCTGGGAGGGTCTCAGACACCGCACACAGGAGGCGCTCACACTCCACACGCGGGAGGAGGCGCTCAAACACAGCCACAGAATGGAACTGACCCCCTTGAGACAGCTGACCCGGGGCCCAGGTGACTTAGCTCACACCTCAGCCTCAGTTAGCGGATGACTTCACGTCCCCCAAGCATCTTGGACAAGTCAAAGGAAAACAATCAAGTCCGTCTCCAGCTCACAAACATCCCATGGCTCCCACTGCCTAAGGAATAAAGTTCCGTGTGCGCAGCCTCGCAGGATGGGGCTCTGAGGCCTGCGCTCTGCCCGCATCCAGGTACGCCCACGCACGATGCTCGGACCAGCTGCCGTTCACTGACTCCTGGGCCCCGCGGGTCAGAGAACTGTTCCACAGGGTGTCCAAGGGGGTTGTTTGGAAGGAAATCAGCAAGTCTTTCTCCTGAGGCCCCTGGCGGACTCGAACCACCAACCTTTCGGTCAGCAGAGAGCACGTTAACAATTTGCACCACCCAGGACTCCCCACCGCTGCTACCTGCCGTCCAAGTAGAGCAGCTGACCTTCCACCTAACAGGCTGCCCTCCTGCCGCCTGCCTCTGCCTGCCCTCTTGAAACCCCACCTATCCCTCCTGTCCCTGCAGGGCACGAACCTCCTGTCCTTCTCAGTCTCCCAGAGGGCCACCTAGCTCGCCCCCACCCCGGCTGACCCACAGCGCTTGATTTGTCCTTCTCTGATGACACATTTTTCAACCCGTGAAGGTCTCTCCAGCTGTGCCATTCGCTGGTGAAGTGAGTCTGTCCTGGGTGAAGATGACAGTGACCGTCACTGCGTCCCCAACACAGAGCGGAGCGATGACCGATGGATGAACGAATGAATGGGTGAACTAACTCCTTCCTGTGCTACGCTGATGGCAACAGCTGGAGGGACCCCGAGGGGCCTCTGAAACCCGCTGAGGGGTCTGGGAAGGTCCCCAAGGAGATAATGTCTGAACTGAATCTTAGAGGCTGAGTGGGGTCTGGCAGGGAGAGAGGGGTGAGCCAGGTGGGGGGTCACATGGAATGAGAGTGCAAGGTCACAGGGTGATTATGGCCTGGGTGGCTGGGAGCACAGGCCCCAACCCCAAGCAGGGACTGCCACTGTCTGCGTCCAAAGTTCAACAAAGAACAGTCTCCAAAGTGTTGCTGCCGCTTCCACCCCTAGTGCCGACGGCTATGCGTTACTCTGAGGTTCTGGTTTGTGATTTTAACTCAGTGACCCCGTGACAGGGCAGGACTTCCCCACAGGATTTCCTAGGCTCTAACCTTCGTGGAAGCAGACTGCCAGGTCCTTCTCCCATGGTATAAACTACCCACCTTTGACTTAGCAGCTCCGTTCTCACCCACTGGTGAGCTCTAACCACCCACAGTGTCGCTCAGTGAACAAACCCAGAAGAGTCCGAGAAGCCACATTGGGACCAGTCCCAGCCCTGGGAGCGCCCGCTCACAGGACTGCAATGCCTGTGGGCTTGTCAGGACGATGGCCAAAGAAAGGTGCCCATCCCCATCCCCTGCACAGTGCCACGTCCTAGGGTGGGCATCAATACCAGTGGACCACAGCCTGACAGGAGCCTGCCCCCGCCCCCCCGCACCGGACCCATTCCCTGCACGAGGCTCCGCCCCGGCACGCAGGCCCACCCCGTCCCCTGCACGAGGCTCCGCCCCGGCACGCAGGCCCACCCCGCCCCCTGCACGAGGCTCCGCCCCGGCACGCAGGCCCACCCGCCCTACCTCAGGATTCTCCTGGCCCGGAGGCCCATCTTCCTTCTTTTTGGTGGCCTGAGCTCCCTGAGATGGCTCCTCCGTGGGCGGCCGCGGCTCCCCCGAGCTCTCGGGCTGCGTCTGCACTTGAGGCTGAATGATGATAACCTGGAAGAGGGGTTGGAGTGAGGGGCGAGTGGGGACTCCGGGCGGGCTGGGCTGCCGCACAGGGGTGCACGGGCGAGGACAGAGGGGCCCGGAGCTTGGGCCGAGGTCCCCGGACTGCAGGACGCCCACACCGGGCGCGTCCCTGCTCCCCTGATGACCTGTGACATCTTTGGCTGGGGCTGCGAGAAGGTACCAGGAAGGCCTGGGTTCAAATCCTGCCCCACCCTTGTTTCCCAGCTGCGTGGCCTCTGGGAGGTCACTTGGTCTCTAAGCCTCAGCTGCTGCTTCAGCAAAACCTCTCCAGCACTACCGCCCTGAGGCGAGGGCTCCACAGGGTGGGTCTGCTGGCCCCAGCTCAAATGCGGTGAACTCAGGCGGAGAAGGATCAGGTCTTCCAGGTAGAAGTGGAGGGGGAGGGGCCGGCGCTCCCGGGGGGTCGTCTGCCTGCGGCCCCGGGACCCCCCACTGCCTCACCGGGCCCCAGGACCCCCAGGCCAGTGTCTGAGGCGCCCAGAAGGGGAACAGAGACCCCTCAGACCCCCTCACTCTGCCAAAAACTGGGGGCGAGGCCGGGAGGAGGGGCCCAGGGTGGGCTCCACACCGTGATATGCCTCCCCCCGGGGTGGCCACACTTTGCTCAGCCTTCTTGGGGTTTAGGATAGAACTTGGTTTGATCATAGGGTCTGAGGCTAAAATGTGCTAACTGCGTCTGAATGGAGGTCTCCAGCCCTGGCTCTCCCCAGGGAAGCCCCTGCACCGGCTGCCCTTGGCACTCAGTGAGTTCACTTTATCTGTGTTTTTGGACAAGGAATGAGCAAAAATTGTCTATTTCTTGCATCCAGGGAGGAAGGATTCAGCAGGAGCGGCCAGCAGGTCTGGCCTAAGCTAGGGATCCGTGAACGGAAGCTGCTTTCCCTAAGAATGAGTGGTGAAGGGCCTTGTGACTTTGTTGTTATATGTGCTGTGGAGTCAGACCCGACTCACAGTGACCCCTCCTTGGGCTTCCAAGGTGGTATCGCTAGGCAAGTAGATTGCCCAACCTTCCTTCTGAGGAGTGGCTGGTGGGTTTGAACCGCCAGCCTTCTGGTTAGCAGTCAAGTGCCTTAGGCCCTATACCACCGGAGCTCCCCATGTGACTTGAAGGGTCTCAAATACCAAAACAAAACTGCGACCCGTTTTTCACTGCTTTCCAGGAGAGCATCCTGCCCCTCTGCACTGGCTTTTAAAACCCTGGAATTCCTGGGCTGTAAAACAGTGTGCCCCTTTTTTTATACTCATGGGAAGAAACTTCCAGATCCCCAGTTGAAAAAAGGCGAAGGATATCCCCGAATCAGATCCACATAAGGAGACAGAATTCTTTAAAACCATAAGGAGAACACTCATGCTTCATGAACAATAAAACCAAGAGTCCAGCTGACAAATGAGGGGCCCGACTGCATCTAACAAAAGAGGAAAAACGTGTTTTAAAACATGCACACTGAGTGCTGGTGCGGCTGCAGGGAGACAGCACACTCGGCTAAGCTGTCCCCGAAGCAGGCACCGTGCTGGGGCAGGTGTCCTCCCCGGAGGCTTGTAGGCTTTGAGAATCCCCAGGGACACCATCAGAGGGTGGGAGGGGCTCAAAGCAGGACACTCCCAGAAACACATTATGCAACATAAGGCTGCATGAAAGTTGAGTGCGAACATTTGGGCCAGAGAATAGAAAGGACATGGGTGAGAAGTAAGAGGGGTGGTCTGGCGGACAGCAGACCTCGAATGCGGACAGAGGTGGTGGTGGTTAGGTGCCACTGAGTCGAATGCAACTCGGTGACCCTATACACAACGCAACGAAACACCACCCAGTCCTGCACCACCCTAACAGTCGTTGCTGTGTTTCAGCCCATTGTTGCAGCCACTGTGTCAATCCATCTATTTGAGGGTCTTCCTCTTTTCTGCTGACCCAGAGGGAAGAGGGACAACCTAAGAGACGACCTTGGTGCAGTTATTGCGCTCAGCCGCTAACCAACAGCTGGAGGGTTCCACCCAGGGTGACCTGGAACCAAGGCCTGGTGGTCCACTTCCAGACACCAGCCGTCAGAAGCCCGTGGAGCACAGTGCAGCTCTGATGTGGCAGGGCTGCCAGGGGTCAGAGCTGACTGGACGGTGACCACTTGGTCTGTCTCATGTGACCCCCAAGGCCTCATCGGCCAGAATCGCACGGAAGGTTGGAGAGGATCGGAGTGCATCTTCATTTCAAAGCTTGGCAAAAAAAAAAAAAAAATCACAGGAGAATTTCTGTTTTGGCAACGGGGGTCTAAAAAGCCCTCGACTCTGGCTCCACCAGGAAGACTGAGAACCAGTATCGGGCTCTTTTCCACCCCGTGCACGTGTGTGAACTGTTCCAGTGGATGGGGCAGCACAGCCAATGACCAGCCACTTTTCCCACTCGTACTGATTCATTCAGCGCATATTCTGGTAAGCAGACTCATTCATCCGTACCCTGTCCACTTGTGTGCTAATCCGTTAATTTCATTTTATCACCCATCCATTCATTCACTCATTCATCCATCCGTTTCATTCATTGTTCATCCATCATCTATCTGTCCATCCATCCATTCATCCATCACTCATCCATCCATTCATCCATCTGTTCATTCATCCACCCATTCATTCATTATTTCTCCATCCATCCATCCGTCATTCATCCATCCATTATCCATCCATCCATCCATTCATTATCCATCCACTCATCCATCACTCATCCATCCATTCATTCATCATTCATCCACCCATTCATTATTTCTCCATCTATCCGTCATTCATCCATCCATTCATTCATCACCCATCCATCTATCCATCATTCATCCACCCGTTCATTCATTATTTCTCCATCCATCCATCCATCATTCATCCATCCATTCATTCATCACCCATCCATCCATTAATCATTCATTCATTATTTCTCCATCCATCCACCCATTCATTCATCACCCATCCATCCATCCATTATCCATCCATTCATCATTCATTCATTATTTCTCCATCCATTCATTCATCACCCATCCATCCATTCATCCATCATTCATTCATTATTTCTCCATCCATCCATTCATCATTTCTCCATCACCTGGCCAGCCTGTCCCTTGTTCCTCCACCCCCCCCCCCCAGCACAGGGCACTATCTGTGTGGCATGGCTCTCTGGAGCCCGCTGGAGCACTCACCTTGTTGTCGGCACTGATGAGGAGGGGCTGGACTTTGACGCTGTCGCTGACCACGGACACGGCGGTGCTGGGGGCGATGGCGGCGGCATTGCTGGGGGAGGTGGAGATTATGGCGTAGGCCACGCCGGCGCTGCTCAGAGGAGAGGTGACAGTGGCGGGCTCGGCGCGGGCCTGGGGCTGGCTGCTGGGTGCTGGCACATGGCTGACAGTGTTGTTGGCGGTGGGGAGGGCTGGGCTGGGGTTCTTGATACTGACCACAGTGGCCTTCTGGAATGTTGGGGGCTGTTTAGGGGGCCTGTCCCGGCCTGGGGTGACAGGGAGGCTGTCTGGAATCAGAGTCTTTGGCCTAACCTAGAGGGGAGAACAGATGCGTGGTCAGACAGAGAGGGTGATGGCCGGACAGGTGCATGGAGGGACAACCCTGAGCAGACCCAGGACTCAGGGAAGGAGAGGAACTCTGATGTCCCATGTCAGAGATGACAGGTCTCACCCACACCGTGGTACCATGAGGCATCTACCAGGCACCGTGGTACCATCAGGCATGTGTACCAGGCACCATGGTACCATGAAGCATCCACCAGGCACCATGGTATACCATCAGGCATCTACCAGGCACCGTGGTATACCATCAGGCATGTGTACCAGGCACTGTGGTACTCATTCAACCCTGATGCTCTAGACACATGGCCTCCATGTTCTGGGCTGGTCCCAGGGGCTCAGGAGGAGCTGCTTGGGCCGAGGCTCGCCTGGTCAGCTAATAAAAGGGAGCAGAGAGGGGGAGAGGCAGGGAGCCACCCATGTGAGTTAGAGAGGTCCATGCAGCTCAGCTCTGGTCACGACAAGTCCCAATGCAGGCAGAGCTGGCCTCGGTGCTGGATGTGAGCGATGCTGCCTGGCAGCAGGGCTGTGGCCGGAGCGCCCTGCTCAGTCTTGCTTCCTGATGTGGGTGGGGCTGCCGGCATGTCCCCCATTAATTCAAAGGCTACACCCATGTGGCTGGAAATAAGAAGCCCACGGGCTCGGGCTGGGGCTCTGGATGGGCAGCAAGGCAGGCCTGGCTCCTCTAGGACCCCTGTGGCCTTGAGCAAACCCCTGTGCCCAGGTCTCTCAGCTGTGCAACGCAGTGATGAGCCCCTCCTGGGGTTAGGTGTATAGGAGAGAACACACAGAAAGCGGGCAATGTGCTTTGACTGTCAGCTGCCACCACTCACTGTCCCTGCGACCACATCCCTACAGACTAGCCCCAGGACACCCACTCCCCACCAACTGGTGGAGTCACACCGGTCCCATGAGGTCTGCACCAGCAGCCCTTCTTACAGACCAGGAGACGGCGGCTGGAGGAGGGAGGGGACCCGCCTTGTCTGAGCCCAACTGCACTCACAGCATGAAGTAGGTTGCAGTGGCCCCATTTTACAGCTGAACAAACTGAGGCTCAGACAGGAAAAGGGGCTCATCCAAGGGCAGGGATGACGAGTGGTTGGGGGGGCAGTGGCTGCTGACACAGGGACACCTGGCAGGGGCTCTGTCAGCCCCACTTATCACCCCACACCTTCTCCCACCTGTCTCCAGGGCGGCCCCACGACCACGTGCAGGCCCCCGTGGCCAGGCATCCTGCTCGGCTGGGGGCTCCTCACTCAGCAAGGAGCTCGTCCTCCCCTTCCCTGTCACAGCAGGGCCTCAGCAAAGTGGGCAGGAACGGCCTCCTGCTGTCCTGGGCACTGCTGCCGGGTCCAGTGGTCAAGCCTTCAGTCCCCAGGCCTCAGGCTCACAGCCCACCACAAGCATCACCACCAGATAAGAAAGAGGCCTTCTCCTGGCCCTTGGCTCTGCCGGTTACCCACTTGAAGCTGACGCTCTGAGACTCTGAGGAGGGGAGGCGGGGACAGATGCCTGGGACGGTCAGCGAGGGTCCCGCCGTGACCTTCGGCTCACGTCCATCCGCATTTCCCTGGTCACTTGGGGCTGGCTCACAGGTCGACATGAGTGGGCCAGCCCTGACAGGTCTGAATAGGGTAGCTGGGCCCATGCAGGCTTCTGGGTGCTGGACACAAGCTGGGCCAGGACCGAGGGCTGGGCTGAACCCAGAGGATAAGGACAGTGGGGAGCGCTGTCCATCTCCGCAGCCGGCAGCCCTGGCCAGGCACGCATACAGCAGGCGCGCAGCGGAGCGGGGTTAGTGGCAATCGGCACAGTTAGGAATCATCTGCATCTGTGCCGCACCAGGCACTGGTACCATCGGGCATCTGTGCCAGGCACCGTGGTACCATCGGGCATCTGAGCCAGGCACCGTGGTACCATCGGGCATCTGAGCCAGGCACTGTGGTACCATTGGGCATCTGTGCTGTACCCACACCGTGGTACCCATCCAGCATCTACCGGGCAGCATGGCACCATCGGGCATCTGTGCTGTACCTGCACTGTGGTACCATCAGGCATCAATACCTGCACCGTGGTACCATCGGCCATCTGCACCAGGCACTGTGGCACCATTAGGCATCTGCACTGTGGTACCACTGGGCATCTGTGGTAACTGCACCGTGGTACCAGTGGGCATCTACCAGGCACTGTGGTACCTTCATGCATCTGTGCTGTACCCGCACCGTGGTACCATCGGGCAGTGTGCTGTACCAACACTGTGGTCAGTGCTGTGTGTCATCCAATTCAAGCCTGCAGACGCCAGGATGTAGGTTCCTGCATGACCCCCCTGAGAAGGGCACTCAGGCCAGGACCAGATGAGGTCCAGAGGCCAGTCCAAAGTGTCAAGCCCAGGAAGGTGGCCTCCTGAGCGGACCCAGGGCGCTGGGCCCACATCTGCACAGCTCCTATGATGCAGCATCTCGTCCACGTCCTTCAACTGCCCTGATCATGACCCAGTTCAGAGTACATGTTCCAAATGTGGATGAGGGTGGTGGCACGGCTCTAAGGATGTGTCAGTGTCGATGAATTGAGTGTGTACAAGCTGGTGAACTGGTGTATATTCTCTGTGTATATCCTCAACAACAACAAAAATAAAACAAATTATTAAAAAAATAGTAACAGATGCTCCACTGTGACCCATAACAGGAGCAAAGGGTTTGAGAAGCAACGCCCCTGGGCGTGCCCGTGCCTCCGGGTCCAGCTGAGGCCAGTTTATTTCATTACAGAAGAATCTGCTCATGGCCTCCAACATGCACTTCCCACCCCCGCCCCGTGTGGAAGACACCATCCTGTCCAGTCGGCTCCTTTCAGGTGGGAAGAGGAGGCCCCAGAGGGAAAGCACCACTGAGGGGGATGCCCTAAGGGCAGGGTCACACCCAGCCTGGCGCCCGCCTAACACAGCACTGATGGGACCCCATTCTGTCCTGAATCGTGTCCCTCCAGGATACGCATAGGAACCCTAACCCTTGTGCCTGTGGCCAGGATCCTGTAAGAAACCAGGGTTTTCTCTGTTATGTGAATGAGACCATATCCATGTAGGGGGGTCCTAAACCTCATCAGTGCCAAGTGAGCAAACCCACAGACATGACCCAGGAGCAGAGCATAAACTGGGGAGGAGACACCCCAGGTAAAGACAGCCGAGGACCAAGGAACGCCTGGGGTTATGACAGGAAGGAACTGACCCGGCAGGGACCCTGATTTGGACTTGTAGCCTCCATAACACCCAGACAGTACATGTCTTTCCTCAAAGCCACCCACTCATGCTATCTGTGTCACAGCAGCCCTGGGAGACCAAGACAGGGCGGAATCCACACAGAGGAGCGGACAGACAGATGGCCGCGGGGGGGCGGGCGCCGCTTACCTGAGGTAGCTCTGCTGCTCCTTGCCCCGCCAACCTCTGCAAGGAGCTCACCTGAGGACCCGTGACAGGCACTGCAGTGGTGGTTCCCAAAGCCTGAAAGTCACAGAGGGCTGGGGCTGAGGCAGCGGGCCTGAGACGGCCGTCGCCACACGACTCTCTGGAATGACTTCTGTTGTCACAAAAGCAACGTACGTTCATGGAAGAGATTCTGGAGGGTAGAGAAAGAAAGGGAACAGCACCCCCAGAAAACAGTCCTTCTTACTGTTTTTAAGCAACCCTTCTTCATTACAAAGTTGCTTCTGGTTTTCAGTGCATTTTTTATATATCCATTTCCTGGAGAAGGATGTCATGCTTGGTAGGGTGGAGGGTCGACGAAAGGGGGAGGCCTTCAACGAGATGGATTGATACGGTCGCTGCGATGATGGGATCAAGTATAGCAGGGATTGTGGGGCTGGCGCGGGATCGGGCAGTGTTTCGTTCTGCTGTGCATGGGGTCGCTATGAGTCGGAAACGACTCGATGGCACTTAACAACAACAACACACAGAATTTTTGCAGCCTGTCCGCAGTTTGAACCCATAGTGCTCTGTGGGAGAAACACCTGGCAATGCATTTCCATAACGATCATGGCCTTGGGGACCCGATGGGCAGTTCCACTCTGTCCTACAGGGCCGCTGTGAGTTGGAACTGAGCTGATGGTACTAACAACAGTAACATCTCTACTTGTGTTTAACGATACACGTAAGCTTTTCTGATGTTGCTGCAGCCTTCCAATCACCCTTCGATGACAACGGCTGCAGCGTGTTCCATTCAGCGCACTTACATCCTCAGCCCATCCTCTTTCACGAGATACTTGGGTTTTATCTCTGCCCAGTCCAGTGACTGCAGTAAACATCCGATGCGGCAGTAAACATCTGTGCAGAACGCCATTTCTACATCACAAACTATTTCCAGGGAGGAGAATCTGAGAAGTGGGTAGAACGGGTCGAACATGGAGGTGTTGTTCAGGCCCTTTAGTACCCCTCTACACCCCTTGGGAAGTTGGGTTTGGGAGGGGGAGTGGCTTCTGCTTGCCGTGACACGACCCTCACATCCAGGGTGCGCATGTGCACACGCGTGTGCGCGCACACACACATGCCTGGAGCTCTCACCAATGCATCACGGCTGTAACGAAAACGCTGCAGGTTCAGGTTCACCCAGAAGCACTGAGGAGGACAGGCCTGTTGACACACCTCTGAAAACTCAAGCCATCGGGACCCCGTGGAGCACAGTCCTTACTACACAAGGGAGCACTGTGAGTAGGCGCTGACTGACGGCAGCTCGCTTTCACGGCTCCGGCGCGTCGCGGGACAGCTACACCAGCAGTCCACTTGGGGAGCGGAGGGGAGGGGACTCCCTCCCAGGGCCCACCCAGGTGCTGAGACATCTCCTGCTGGGAACCACTGCCGCCCACAGCCCCTGCTGAAGGAGCAGCTCCAGCCCTGTCTGTACCCCCCCGAGCCTGCCCCGCACAGCAGAGGCCCACTACCCACAAAGCCAGCCATTGGCGCTTCCCTTGGGATACCTGGAGACCCAGGCTCTACGTGGGCAACCAGACTCTACGTGCCCAGTCTGCGGGCCACCGGCAAGAGAAGCCCAGCTGGGGGCAGGGTGAGGGATGAGATGTGCGGGAAGAAGCTGGGTCAGTGCACCCCAGGAGAACTCTCAGCAGCCAGAGAGAGCGTGGGAGAGGGAGGGAGGGAGGGAGCAGGGAACGGGCCATGTGAACAGAGAAGGGGAAGCCAGGGCCCCACACGTCACAGAACCCTGGCACATCCTGAAGTCGGGTCTGTGGGGCCGGCTGCACCGCCTGCCCCTAGGTTCTGAGGGACTCACGGCAGCCATTCAAGGCCCCCTTTCTTCCCCAGACAGCATCTCTAGCCACCCTGTACATACCTTTTAAAAAATCATTCATTCTATTTTTCACTGTTGTTGAACATACGCCAAGTCAACAACTTCTCATGGACACTTCGGTACAGTGACCGCATTCTTCAGGTTGTGCACCCACCCTCGCCCTCCTTTTCTGAGTTGTCCCTCCTCCATTAACATAAACTCACTGGCCCCTGAGCTTCCCATGGAATCTTGAGTTGCTGTTGTCAGTGTGACCCATGGAGACAGGCCTTTTAAAGCACAGTCTTCAAGGCCAACGTTCTTTACTAATTAAGTCAAACTACCCTCTGATCCAAAGATGACTTCAGGGAACATTTCTGGCTTCAGAGTTAAGGTTTCAAGGTTACCTCACAGCAATAGGTTTGGGGGTTCATTCAGCCTCAGTGGCTCCAGAAATTTTGAATTCCATGAGAATTTGAAGTTCTGTTCTGCATATCTCCCCCTTTTGATCAGGATTATGCTGTAGAACTAGTGTAAGGTCGACCCCATACATCTTTAAGAGTCTTCTCTACAACAACAGCTTCTCTCAGCCAGATGCAACCTGGAAGATGGTTCATGGTGGGCAAAACTCATGGCCCTCCCCTGACAACCAATAAGGTAAGAAAATTTTTAAAAGGCACCTAGAGTAGTAACTGTCTTTGTTTGAAGATGAAATTATTATTTATATAGTGTATCTTATGCAATCTACCAAAAAACCTGCTAGAATTAACAGTGTAGCAAGGTTGCAGGATACAGCATAAACATACAAAAGGCAACTGTATTTCCATATACTAGCCACTAACATTCAGAAATTTAAAATTCTATTTGCAAGAGTATGAAGAACTAACTACTTATGGATAATCTAAGAGTTGATGAGTAGGACTTGTACACTGAAAACTTCTAAACACTGCTAAGAAAAAATTAGAAAGTAAATAAAAACCAAAACCAAACCTACTGCTATTGAGTCAATTCCAACTCATAATGACCCCCACTGGGTTTCTGAGGCAGTGAATCTTTATGGAAGTAGACTGGCCAGTCTTGCTTCTGTGGGATGGCTGGTGGGTTTGAACCACCAACCTTCTGGTTAGCCTTAGGCACTGTGCTACTAGAACTCCTTTTAGAAAGTAAATGTTGTTGTTGTTCTGTGCCGTCGAGTCGGATCCAACTCACAGCGACCCCTCCTTGGGTTTCTGAGGTGGTATCATTACGGAAGTAGATTGCCCAGCCTTCCTTCCGAGGAGTGGCTGGCGAGTTTGAACCTCCAGCTTCTGGTTAACAGTCAAGTGCCTCAGGCACTACGCCACCAGAGCTCCAGAAAGGAAAGAGAGATGCCATATCCATGAATCAGTGTGGTGGTAAAGTTTGTGTGTCAGTCTCGCTGGGCCTGGTGGAGTGGCTGGGCAGCTGGTGGTAGTTATTCCCCAGGATGAAACCGGTAATCAGCTCCACGGTGGATCTACCACAAGCAGCTGAGTAGCTGCTTTCCGGCTGTGGTCTGCTTCCTGTATATAAGCAGCAGCTTTGGGAATGGTCTCTAGCTTGTGGAACACTTGAACCCTGCAACGTAGCCAAGTTGTTGTTCAGCAGCCTGCCATGCTCTGCCAAATTTGGGACTTTTAATGAACTTGAATTAACGGCCTGCCGTGTGGTTTGGTAACATTGGGACTATGCCTTTTTACTTGTTGACCCTGGGTTTGTCAGCCTCAGCAGCCAGCAGCTGTCTGAGTGAAGAAACGCCTCTAGCATCAGTGGACCGGGAGCAGGAGGCAGAGCTGAAGCCCACGGTTGAGAGGCTTTCACCCAGCCCCTAGAGGTGGCGCTTTGAACTTGGACTTAAAGCCTCCAAGATTCTAACAGAATAAACTCCTTTTGCTCACGCGATTGCATTTGTGGTATATTCCCGTCAGAGCAGCACTAGGGAATCAGAACAGCAAATAAGCACCAGAAGAAACACGAAGCATCGTCAGTTATTAGGAAAAGGCAAATTAAACCACCAAGAAGGACTCTCATGGCTGTGGCTGCCGCTGACTTGGCTGAACTCATGGGGACCCAGAGCACAATGGAACATAATGCTGCTGGCCCCGCGCCGGCCCCCGCTGGGCTGTGGTTCACACCACTGTGCTCCACGGGGTTTCACGGGCTGATTTCTGGGAGCCGATCACCAGGCCTTTCTTCCTGGTCTGCCTCAGCCTGGAAGCTCTGCTGAAATGTGCTTGGCATCCGAGCAACAAACAGGCCCCCGGTGACCGCCGGGTGGTGGCTGCACGGGGGTGCACGGGCCGGAATCGAGCCTGGGGCCCCCACACAGGCAGCAGGGACCCCACCACTGAAGCACGAAAGGACCAATCACGTCAAGTGTCGCTGAGGATGAGGAGCAACGGGGACTCTTGCACAGGCTGCTGGGATGTAACGTGCTGCAGCCCCTGGGGAAACAGCGTGGCAATTTCTTCAAGAGTGGAACGGACACTTACTGTATGACCCACCACTGAAAGGAAAATGAAAGTACACGTCCGTACAAAGACCTATACACAAATGCTCACGGCATCTTTATTCTTAATAGCCCCAAACTGGAAACAGCCCAAGTGCCAACAGCAGGTGATGGATAAGCAAACGGGTCCAGTCCTCAGCAACATAAGAGAATGAGTTATACTGCACGATGTGCACAGCAACAAGGATGAATCTCAGAACAATTTTGCTGAATGAAAGAAGTTCGATCAAACAGAGAGAATCATATGATGCCATTTATGTAAAATTCTGGAAAATGGAAAGTAATCGACAGCGACAGAAAACAGATTAGAGGTTGCCTGGAGACGAGGGTGTCGGGGGGAGGGGCTTCATAGGGGCACAAGGAAACTTCTGGGGGTGAAGAGCATGTTTCCTGTTGATTTGTGGGGTTCACAGCTGTCCAACTTTGCACCTTTCATTTGTGAAGTTTATCGTACGTCAGTTGTACCTCAATAGAGCTGCTGAAACCAGGTTCCCTCCTTATTTCCCACTCACTTTATGTCTCTCTGCCCACAAGATGTCACCTGCCCACAACGGGCCAAATTCCCCGTGCTCAGCTCCTTCAAGCCAGCTGCCAGTCTCTCTGCATCGAGCCAAATTATCCACATTTAACTGAAAATTCACTTTGGACATTTATTGGAATGCCTGAGGCATTTGATTGATAACCAGAAGGTTGGCGGTT